CGCAAAAGAGAGGGCTTTTGGACGTACGTATTTAGCGAAGTTCACTGAAGCTTCCCGGAGAATTTCTAAGTTCAATTCGAATTCATTTCGTGATACTGTATGCTTGAAAGTCTGAGCATTAAAATTCTGATGAAGTCTTTACAACGCCTTTATTTTACTTAACACCCACGGCTATGAATGAAGTAACAATGAAATGTCTCACCTCCAGTCTTTCTTTCTCTAAACCAGCTTTAATTTTTTCAAAACTACTTTGCTTGTTTCGCTGCTTTTATTCATGAAACTGTTGCTTAGATTGCTTATACATGAGGTAACTGTACGCTTCAAAGATGCAAACGAAAAAAGAAGGACAAAATTGTTTTTCCTGAACGCTCAATTTTCGCTATTAATGTTTAAGACGGCTGAAACGTTAGAATCTTTCATCATCCATTGTTTAGGAATTAGAACATGTGTTGGTCTCTTCCTAAAACCAATCAACAAGCATAAAAGATCGATGTGTTTTCGACTTTGTATTCATAAGAAATCGAAGTAATACTTAAATTGTCTTTTTTTTCTTCCTCTGTGAAAATACAATAATCAAGTAGATAATATTATTTTCATTCATTATGAAATTCTAGGAAACATTTATTTCAGAGCCTCGACAAAAGTTTATTCATCCTCCCTGCATCTAAAATGACCTTTCAAACAGTCCCTCATAAGCGTTTTGGTCGTTGCAAACTGAATTGCTTCTATGGAAATAATTATTTTCTTTTCTTTCTTTAAGAATCGCTCAAGACCCTGTGGAGTTCTCTGTTTTACCCTCTTTAAATCATTTATAAAATAATGCCACAGAGGTATAATACTGAGACAAACATTATACCACTGCTGACAATTTTGTTTCTTGGATCAAGCTGCCTCTCCTAACGAAGTTTCGGGAAGCAAAATTATTTATAGGGCACTTCAATTATCTTTAGCCTTTTTTGGTCAATAAACAAAGCAAAACGAACTCTTACAATAGGCGCATCTTTACTTCATCTTTAATCTGAATTTTAAATTGGATTAATTTTATTATGTTATATTTTACCTCATTTTCTTTTTCATTTTCTCTTTAACAATCTCATTTTCAAAAGATTCCCTGGTTTTTTTCTATAAAATATGATTGAAGGAAAATTATTTTGTATCGATACCTGATCATGGAGAACGGGTTTAATCAAAACTCGTGAAACTCATTAGTTAAAATATACGAGATATGCACTCATTACTTAGACTAACGCCATGATTTATGCTCGGGAAATTCGTGAGCAATCAAAAAAATTTTTTTTCAAAATAAGGTTCTTCGGTAATTTAAGTTCTGTTATTTTTTTCATAGGTTGGACAGATCAGTGTCTCTTATTCATTCTGTCAAGAGAGAAATTAAAACGTTAGATCGTTGGTAATAACAAGAAAAAGTGATTTTTTAACATCTCTTTATTGATTGTTTCATGATGGAATTGATCTGGATGAATTTTTCTCAAAATTTGAACTGGCGCAAAATAAAAGAGTCATGTTGGCGTCCCTGGCCGTTTTTGTTAGAACTCGTTTAGAAAGTCTCAAAACGAGTTAGCTTCTCCTAAAATCATGGATCAATCTATCTCATAAATTTTACTGAGCTATACTTGCCGGAAAAAATAAAATTTCGTCCCACTTAAGCTCACGTTAAATGCTCACGTTAAATGCTCACGTTGGATTTCATTTCTGAGCCCTATCGATGACTGAAATTGGATATTTGAAGTGTTGAACAACTTTTCCTAATCGGTTTGTGGCATCTTCACATATTGCTGGGTTGACGAAGGAGCACTAACAAGTTTTCTTTTCAAAAATGAAAATTGATTTGGAAATTCTGCGGATGTATGCACGATAAATCGTGACACAAGGACCACCTTGAGTCAGATTGATTTTATCAGCGCCCATTTTAACTCCTGGATGGAGAAAGGCGGAAGAGTCTTACCAGAAAGGAAGTTTCACGGATATTCACTTTCAAAGATATTTTCAATAGCTACACCAGCCTGTCTCTCGCCCCGGGCAGAGAAAATATGTCTTATTGTGGCTAATTGCTAACCAGGTCTCAGTTATAGAAAGGGTGGACAACGCTATCCAACGGATAAATCGCTATCCAGCCGATAGCTGTCAGCAAAACGTAATGCGCTATCCATAGGATACAGATTTATCCCGTGGATAGAGTAATCCAACCTTAGATCAATCGGGGCCAGGGGTTTACTTAATCTTCCTGTTTATAAATATCCTATCACACCCTTTGAGAACTATTCATTGATTGGTCTCTCTTTTTAGCTTCATGCACAAACGAATTTACGAAAAACAATGTAAAAAAAAGCAATTACAAGGAAAAGATGTTCTGAAATAAATAGGAAAACAAGGGAGCTACTGCAGAAAGTTTGTCGTTTTCCGCACTTTTTCAAGTTACCATCGTCATCATTGCTATCATCATTATTATCATTATTACTAACATTACGTAACTTCTCCGAGGAAGAGTAAATCATTGACTCTCCAAGTCTCGCGAGTTTTGTAGTAGGTGTCTTTTGTATTCTAGGTTAAAGTCAAAAGAATTCCATATTTCTTCTAGAAACCAACTTCATGAAAAAGCATCTTTTTCATGCCCAATTTTGGCATTTGAGAGTTAAGACTATTATGTTTTTAGCATCTAGCGTGCTAAATAAGCAAACAGTCAAAACTTGGAAGTCGGAAACGTCACGTCGCGTGAACTCATTTACCGGATATATTCTTTTTGGAGCTCTCACAATGTCCAAAGTATTAATGATTTATGTACTAGTTAGCTGAAGCACTGAGGAGTGTTTCCCAAGGAAACATTCTATCATCACTATTTGATAACTTCGTCTCTGGTTGTAGCTTATGTACATCATACGTGATCTCAGATATACTTCCGCATTTTTGGCATCTTCAAAAAAAATGGTAAAAAGTAACGCTAAAGTAATGTTAAACCATTTTCCCCCTTAAGCAATTCTTTTACCTTCAAAATGAGCATAGCAACAGTATAAAGATAGAACGGGAACAAGATAACTGTGCATTGAGCATTTTGTTAATCCAAATATAACAAGAAATTAAGTTTTGTAAACTTCTGGCCTCCTTTCCAGAGACCTCTTGTGTTTTCTTTTTTTACTTTTTTTTTTGTTTTTTTGTCTTTTTTGTTTTCAATCCGACCGACCGGCCTAATATCAGGAAACGCATTCGACGCTAAACGAAAAAAAAGAGGAATGGCTTTACTGGAACCAGGAAGCCCGATTAAACTGAGCAAAATGACTTTCCAAAACTTGACAATAAGTTTTATTCCGTTTAATAATCATATGACTAACCTGAATTAAACACCTACACGAAAAACAAGAAGAAATATTGAGATCTCTATAAATCCTATGTTACTGGTTTACTTCCTTATCTGAAAACAGCGTTTTTTTACAGAATTTACGGCTCCTTTCTTATTTTCTTCCCACTCTTTCGGAAACAAACGTAATTGAATAAATGTAACAAGCACGTTCCTGTGTCCTCTGACCCTGGGAACTTATACTTGCTGAATGAAATATTTTCAAAAAGTAATTCAAGGGTTGATCATTCACAAGCTAAATATCTTGAGCTTAATAAAATAAAATAACAAACTGAATACTACAAGGACCGCTGGAAAGCTAATCTAGACTTTGAAAAGTGCACTCTTCAGATAGGATATCGCGAAATGAAAGCATTGATGGGAAAGAATTGTTTGACTTCTTATTTAACTTTTAAATGAAATAATACAAGTCACTCGACCTTTTCGATATTTTCAAATAACCTTCGATGGAAAACTGGTAAGGCCCACTTAAATCACATGGTCGTTCTGATGGCTTACTCTTACAAAATATTGTTATTTCAATACTTGACTGAAAATTTAGAAAAATTAATACAACATGTTGCCCAATTAAGCCATACTCATATTTTATTTCTTTTTTGTGGAAAATGTAATAATACACGATAAGATAGATTGAGATAAGATATATTGTCATAGTGCTGGATTTTTCCCCAACAGCGCAGGCTCTCATGGGTTACTTAGGGGTCATATGACATCCAAAAATGAAATTGTGTCCCGTCAAACGTCTATGAGGGGGCAACAGCACTCAGTTGCACGTAAAAAGAGCGCGATTTAAGGTGTCGTGAAGGCAGCGTGACATTATAGGTATTTTGTGCCCTTACCCAGTTACGAAGAATTCATCACTGATTTTTCGATTTTTTTCTTTTTTTCACATTACAACCTTAAATTGTTTCGTTGTGCTATACCAATAACTTCCCGACTGTTTCCTCGAGAAACGGATGATTTTTCCCTGGCCTCCGCAAGGAAAAGGGCTGTTTTAACACAGGATCAGTCGTTAAGGGTTTATTGATGCCAGAAAAGGTGTTAATTCTATATTGAAAACCACACTCTGACCATACGTTCTACACTTTTGGGTCTTGTTGGCTAATAGTTACATACACTATTATTTTAGCTGTTTAATCAGTCATCGCTGAGGGCTTTTCATCATAGATGGTGTTTTTGGTCTTTTTACATTTCGGTTATGATAACCTGACCATGGCCAGATGATCGATAGCAACATTCGTTTTGTTGATTTTTACCAGCATTGTAAGATCCTCCACCGCCTCCACAAGAATTTCTCACATTATCTCCACTGCCTCCTCCAGAGTACCCTCCTCCTCCTCCTGCCCCTCCTCCACGTCCATAAGCACCTCCACCTCCACCAAATCCACCAACAGCATTGTTAAACTTAGCTCTACCTCCCACTCCTCCCTGGAGAAATCCTTTACCACCCTCACCACCATCTCCCATGGTACCACCAAACTGCTTTGAGCTTCTGCCGCTGGAGTAGAAACCTCCTCCGCCGCCACCTGTCAGTGATGATAACAATGAAAAAAGTAGTTGTATGCAGTTGGTTCTTAACCTGCACATTTAGGTTGAGACATTTGAGACTTAAGCGAAAAGTTTCATTCAATGAGTGATTAGACTATAGAAGATGTTTTTGTGGGACAGAGATTAGCAGAAACCGATGACAATCACCTAGCCATTAAGGAAAGGTCAACCTCAGACTAATGCCCCGACATCTGAGTCATAGTTCGTGTAAAATTCATATGATAAGCCTTATTAACGGGTTTGCGCTTTAAAAAGGAAAACTGCGGTAAAAATTTGAAAGATAGCAATGCCTACGGGCCAAAATTAAAAGACAAATATAAAATGTGAATTATTCTGTGATAAAATACACATTTAAAAGAGGAGAGGAATCCAAGAAAGCAATCTGTATTTAGGTTCCTTCCACTGGCGTAAAATTCGTTCCTTTCAGTGGCATAAAGTTTCATATAGAAAATGAAAACAAAGAAAAAACAAAGACCAAGACCAAGACTAAGACTAAAAACCAAACATTTAACAATGACGAGTCCCTAACCCTCTTGCCAAATATTCCCCTAATTGATCATTCATTTTCACTTTAATAAAAGTGATATAATTGATATTTCATTGATATGCGGATACCAGGCATGGAGTTTTTGTTTCGGAAACAGATGATGACCTATCGAGACAACCCACTTACCAGAATTGTGAGCATCAGCTGTTTGTGCACCATGTCCATTACGTCCCCCCGACCAGGATCTGTACCCAGGATTTCCCCGTGAAACAGAGCTAGCATCACATCCTGAATGCCTTGAGACTAGAGCGTGTGTGCCTCCTCCACCCCCGGCTATGATCAAAGGATTGTTGGCTCCTCTCACCACAAATGTACCTCCACCGCCTCCAGAAGAAATAGACTGCTTATTTATTTCTCCTTCTTGACCAACAAGTATCTGAATGACTTCACCTTGGTTTAAGCTAAATGTTCCAATCATTCTCGCTCCTCTTCCTCGGTACTGAGCATTGTTAATTCCTGTATCGAACCCACCTGCAGCTCCTATTGCTTCTATTCTGTAGTCACCAGTATACGGCACCGTCCACTGTTGAATACCGCTGGACAGTGTAACTTGTCCGTCATGATCCTGGCCTGTGTAGTGGCTACCAAATGAAGTTGGACCAAATCTTCCACTTGCACCAAGATTTGTAAAGATGGCTTTGCGAAATACTGGCTCAAAATGAACATGAATAACTCCATTCAATAAGGTGCGACCAGGGATTCTTGGAGTATCACGGACATTTTTTCTTACTGGAATTATCAACACCGAGGGCATGGAAAAGTTCAGCTTAAGTTTAAAGACCATCGTAGGTCTTTGAGATATCGCTTTAACATAAAAAAATTCATGTTTTTTTTTGTTACACGATTAACACCAGGGGTAGGAGAAATGGATAAGGGGAAACGAATTAGCGCTTGAAATGAGGACACTACGTTTAGATTTCTAAACAAGTCAATAACGTGAGTGACTTGCACTTGGTGAAAGGAGATTACTTTGAAGATCGTCTACACGGCTTAAAACTAGTGCGAAGTATTTTAGAGCAAAGGAGGATAACTGAAGTACAATAGCTAAAGCGTTTATCTTGATAGCCTGTACTTACCTTTAAGATAGTTTAGGGTTGTCAAAACACTAACAGATCCCAGCTTGTTTGTAGCTTTGCATTGATAATCACCGTCGTCTTGAAGGGTAAAACTGGTGATCATAAGAGTGCCGTTTGTCACAGATGATCGTCCTTGTGGCAATGGAGAAAATGCCTTCGACCATTGAATTGCCGGGGGAGGAAAACCAAAAGCTTGACAGGAAACAGAGGCTACTGTGTTTGCTTTAATTCGCATAAATCGATCCGGGATCTTGGTAAAATGCGGGGGCACTAAATAATAAA